TAAAAAAATAAAATACATTTATTGTTAAATTTAGACTATTTTAAAATAAAAAATAAAATTTTAAAATAAAGATGGTTCAAAATCGCGAATCTAATCCGGAACCGCCGGTTCACGGTTCAAGATTCAGTTTTTTTGATACATAATTTTAATAAATTGACATTTAAATATTGGGTTCTAGATCTGAATTATAACCGGAAACTATTAATTCGATTGTTTTAGTATCCGGTTCAATTCAAACCGAACCGTGGTCATCCCTACGTATACGCAATAATTTGTTGAAGTAGTAAAATAAATAAAATGTTTACTTTAAGGGTATAAATGTCAATTTAATATATCAAGGGGAAAAAACACTACTTTTAGAATAATTGAGGGGACTAATGTGCTTACCTAAATAATTGAGGAGGAAAAAGTGCTATAAGTATATAACTCAGGGGTAAAAAGTGCCATTTTCCCTTATTAAAATTAAACAATACAAATTCAAATTTCATATTCAACGCACATATGTAGGAGATTTACCTTTTCATTACGAACATCTTCGCCATCGTCTAGTGTGACAGAAGGTTGTAACGTTTTCTTAATTATCATTATTATAACATTAGGATAAGTTTTGATAATATTAAGGTCCTGTTTGGTAAAAATTGGCTTATAGGCCAATTTTAGCTTATTTGACCACTATTAATTATTTGATTTAGTTAAAATATCAATATAAATGTTTGGTTAATTAGCTTTTTGCAACTCCATAAGGCTAAAATTGAAAAAGCTACCCCAAACAACTTTTTCAATTAGCTTTTTTAGAAAAGAAATTATACCAAACAGCTAACTAACAGCTAACAGCTAACAACTAATTTACCAAACACTTTTCTACAATCAGCTAATGTTATCAACTATTTATACCCTCTAATTAACACAATCAGCTAACAACTAACAGCTATCAGCTAACAATCATTTTACCAAACAGGGCTAAGTATTTTATATGTGGTACAATACTAATAATCTAATAACAAAAGTTCCATAGCAAGCAAAGCAATAGTCTAAAGTATGTGACTGTGTACAACATCACCTATTATACCAGAGGCATCAAGATGGCTGTGAAGATAATGATACCAAGACCAATTTTAGACAAATTCATTCATAGTAGAAAGACATTATATATATGAGTTAATACCCAATTTAGTTCTAAACGACTTTTTGTGTTTATTAATTAGGTCTTCAATTTTGATGATTTTACCCAATTGAGTCATCTGTTAAGATAACTTAGTAATTTCATATTTATTACGACTATAGTAGTATTATTCGAATTAGTCTTCGATTATAGTGGTTTTACTCAATTTAGTTTTTGACTCTAATAGTCGAGGTCTCAATTGAGTAAAACTAGTTATCAAAGTCAAAGATCTAATTAAGCATAAAAAGTCGTTTAGAATTAAATCGAGAAAAACCACTATAATCTAGAACTATTACTCCGTATACTCTTATACAGATTGAGTAACAGAAATTTGTTACCCTGTTGTAGTTTGCATCCCAACCTTTTCAGAAATTATGACCTGATAAACGTATTTAGTATAATGTCAAGAAATTAAAAGAGGTAAGATACAGAAGCAGATTTGGAAAGATTTAGCCTATGGTAATATTAGTACCTGTACACTTTGAATGTAATTACGATTCCATAATGGCATATAAACAAGATTAGAGAATCTTAGGATGGTGAGGTTTTCGATAGTGTTCCTTCCTAGAAGACGTGGAATACCAAACTGTTCACAGAAGTCTTCGATGACTTTCTTCACGAACTCTGTTTCTTGATCTGAACGAATCTTCACAATATTTATTCTTTTCTCATTTTACTACTATTTTGACAATTCAGGTAACCTTTCGGTCTCATTCTTTCTCTTCAAGAATAAGGTTCAAGTATACTTAGTGTACTCATCTACTACGTACTATACCCCTCTAGAGTATATATTTTTTTAGAGAATTTACGTGCAACTTAAAATGATTTTGATTTTCAAATAATGAGGATCACCAAGCACTATGTTACTTATATAAACCGAAAGGTTACTTAGACGATTCAATTCATTGAGAATGCACAATGGAATAGTTAACCATTTTTAGTGGTTTGCACTTATTTTTGTTCTTAAAAATTTATGATTTGAGTGTGAGAGAGTATGTAAGTGACCAGTAAAAACACAACACAGATATAGATATTTTTATAGTGGTTCGGCTAAACCAAGCCTACTCCACTCTTCTCTTTAAAATTCCTCAGGAGGTTTGCACTAATCCTTTTAGTACAAAAGATGACTCAAGCCTTGAACACTAAGCCGACCTTGAGTATCTAGGTTTTTCAACTCCACACGAGTCTACTCTGCATATTTCTACTTCTACTGAGTAGAGTTACAAAAGATTGAAAATAAAGTTCTTCAATCTTCAATTAACTAGAAGTCTTTGCTTTGAATAATCATGATCTTCTCGATTTGAGCAGCACAAGCTTCTAAAATATGGATATCTCTTTGTAGCTTTGGTTCTCACTCACTAGTCACGAATTGTGAAACTTTGACTGCTTTGAACGCTTAACAAATTTTCTTAGATTGACTACTTGCACATTCTTCAGTCTCGGAATGAGGTATTTATAGGCATTTTGAAAATGATTGGTTGGAGGGAAAACCCATTTCAAAAAGTCTATTATCCAATGACTAAAGACCAGCTTGTAATCCGAAGGTTAGGTAGACTTGTCAGACTTTCCTGTCATTAGAAACTTATTTTGCGATGAACATATCTTTTTGCTCTGCACAAAATGTCTGGACTTTTGAGGAAAATCTTCATTGAGATGTGAACCTAGGACTCTTTTTGTCTTAGTCACATTCACTAGTATTTTTAAGGTTTTGAACTGTTGGCTTAGATAATTTCTCGAGCAATTCATTTCGAATGGTTAATTTTACTATACAAGTTAACATTTCGAACCTTAACACTCTATAACCTCTCGGATATGAATGGTTGACTTTACCATTCATTCCACCTTTAACATTGAAAGGCAAACCCTTCCACCATTAAGCCTTTGCAACCTTTCGGTCTTCCAGTCTTCTATCCTTCGAATCTTCTTCTCGTACTCTTCAAGCCTTCAACTCTTTGAGGTCTTCATCTTCAAGCTATTCGAAAGGTAACCATTCGAGTTACACTATTCAAACTTTTGTTGAGACTATCCGAATTGAAACGTAACCTTTGGAGTTACTATTCGAATTATTCAAAATTGAGCAAAATTGATCTAAGTCTAAAAGATAAAATAAATAGGAGACTAAAATTCCTAACTTTTAATATCATCAAAATCTAAATTACAAATGTTCCTAACATCCACATCACCTTATAATCTCCTCTCCTATTTTCTCTCAAACCCTTCTTCCATGTTCTCGCTTTTTGTGGACCCTACCATCCACACTCCCTACACATCATTTATTATTTTATCCACTACTCTATAATTAATAATTTCAACTTTATAATTATAATTATAATTATAATTTTAAATAAAAATAAATTTAAATAAGAAAATAAAATATTTATTGAATTATAAATATCTTATTTCATAAACTAATCAAAATATAATTTAATAAATTAATATTTGCCTTCAAAACCGTCTATTAACATTTGGAACTGAGTAAAAGATTTTAAATATCATATATAGCAACAATTAATACAATTAAAAATTTTAAAATTTTGGGAAGAAAAATTTTAAAAATAAATTCAAATATTTAAAAAAATTTAAAAATAGAATAACAAAAAAAAAAACTGAAAAAAAAAACACACACACACACAATCATTTGCCGTTGCAAAGCGGCTATGAAAAAAAAAAAAAAAAAACAAAACAAAAAAACTTTTTTTTTTATTTTATTTTAATGGCAGCCTGATCCCAGTTTCCCACCATATATGCGCGTTTGGGCTATACTTCCCTTTTCTTTCGGAGACAACTTTGGCGGTATTTGGTAAAATAATTAGCTTATAGGTTAATTTTAACTTATTTAATCATTATTAGCTCTTTTATTTAGTTAAAAAATTAATATAAGTGTTTGGTTAATTCGTTTTTTTTATAATTCCAAAATGTTAAAATTCAGAAAGCTAATTAAAATAATTTTTTCAATTAGCTTTTTGAGAAAAAAAATTTTACCAAACACTTATAAACTAACAGCTAATTTACTAAACACCTTTCAACAATCAGCTAATGTTATCAACTAATTATACTCTCTAATTAATCTAATCAGCTAACAAAACAATTATTAGTTAATAGCCATTTACCAAACAGGATCTTTGTCTCTGATGGATAATATTCTCTCTCTTCCAATTATGTTTTTCCATTTTTAATTTTCACTCTTTTTCTCTTATTTAATCTCCACCGTTGAAAATTCCCTTATGAATTAAATTATTTAATGGTGGTGTGATAAAATTGTCCTCCTGAAAATTCACGGGCGGCCAACAAGTCAACAACCCGGTGACGTTTAGTAAATTCAATTGGCATTTTTGATGACAAAGAATCTTTCACTTTATCATTGCTCACGACAACTATCATACCTAATGGTGTGTCATGTGTGAGTGTGTGACGTCCATACCATGACATCTCTTTGATTCTTGCTTCTTCTTTTTTCTTCTTTTGGTTGTTAAATGATGATTTTTTTAAAAAACATGTTTTTTTTTCTTTTTTCAGACCAATGAATCAATGCCTCATCACTGAAGTTTGATCCGGTGACCACCTATTTGAAATGGTAATAGAAGTATCATCATACTATATAGTAGTTGAAAAAAAATGCTTTGCATAGGGAGGCTTTGCAAAATATTCACTCAACTATTTCATCGCATCTTCTTTCATGGGACTAGATTTTTTATTTTATTTTTTATTTTAGAATAAAGAAACTAATTCATTAATCATAGGCTGAAAGGTTTACAATAAAGATCGATGGAATGGTCAAACATTCCTTATAGTCAAACATAGAAACAACTTTCTTAGGGAAAACTTGATTCGATTTCACAAATTTGAAGCTGAATTCTTTGGAGGAACTTAAAGCTTCTTTAATGATTTGGTCAAACGTACCCAAGACTGACACTAGTTGAATAGTCTTGCACACCACCTGAGTATCTATTTCCATTCTTCTATACATTGACAATATATCCATCGGGCTGAACTGCATATCATAGTTCAGAGGAGTTTCTTTTCTATTGTCATGTTTGTCACCCAAGATGAGATTCACATACACCATGACTAGTTTTATCGTTTCACGCTTTATGAGAAAGAACTCGTCAATTAAACGAGAGGTAAAAACTCGTCAAAACAATGAGCGGAAAAACACAGAAACTGCAAACAAAATTAAACCAGTCAAACAAAGCAAAGGAAAACAACAGTGCGAAAATAAGGGAGTAACTATCGGTAGCGGTGGAGATGGAAGGGTGGGGCAAGGCGTAAGTGTAACCGATGGTGAAGGCAAAGAATGGAAGAGAAGACAGTGAAGGTAGAAAAGACAATGAAGACACACTGTCTGCAGTTAAAATGGCGGCAGGGGAAGACGATCGAACACGAACTCTGATCCGCTTGCTTTACGGAGGCGACAACCGTGTAAAAATATCATTTTTAAAGAAGTTAATGTCCCTATCCCATTTCCACTTCAACCAAAAACCGTACTAATTTTGAATGCAAATTTCAATTTTAATATTACAATTGATTTTGCATCATCACATTTATTTTTTATTTCTATTCAATTTTTCCTATTTGGTCCTTTATTACAAATTTCATTAAACTAACATTAACATAAAGACAATTCATTGTATTAAAAAAAAAATATTAAGACAATTCATTAATTATAAAATTTTAGTTGTGTTCTTTTACTTTAAAAAAAAAAAAAAAAATCATGAACAATATAATAAATAATAATTTGGTAGGGGCAAAATTGTAATTTAACAAGTCAAAAACCGCGAGTCAATAGCTGCCCCACTTGTTGCCAACTAGCCAACTTTTAATACAATTTCGCCCACCTTTGTCTATTCTGTTAAATTTCTTTGCATCTTCTCCTCACATGGCAGCCCAAAGGTGAAGGATGATGTGCAATGCCCAACATACTCGGCAAATTATACTATAGACCATGGTCTACCTTGCATTAACACATTTTGTACCTGATAGTTTCCATACTTGTAAATAAATTTGATACGAACTCGTATCGAGCCGGCACCGCTTTGAGTGGGTGCAGACTCCAAAGATGGAATTAGGGGAGGGCAAAATCAGAGAGAGAGGGAGAGAGATTTCAGAGAAGGAAGATGATAGTAGAGAAGAAAAAGATAATAATAATTCGCATGTCTTTCCCCCTAGCATGCTGGGTGATTATATACTAAGTTACTCCTATTATGCTTAGGACTATGATTCCTAATTAATAGACTAAACTAATGTATCCTATTACGAATAAACTTAGTCTAACAAATGTAATCAACCATCCATGCCGGTTTCCTTCGTTTTCTCCTTGGCATAGTAGCATGGGTTGTTTCTTTTCTTTCTCCCAATTCTTGATTTTCACCTTCTTCTACTGTGGATATACTCGTATCAAAATTGAAGATACATCACATGATAATTACAGACACAAAAACTATTAACTGAAGACACATAACATGTTAACCAACCTCTTATGTGCCTCTGCAATTAACATATTCTGTAAATGTAATCAATATTGCAAAAATCTCACCTAGACGCCAATTAATCAACAACTAGGCGCTAGTCACTGACCGACCGCCTAACGTATCATCGTAATTAGTGGTCTAGGCGATCGACTAGGTCACCTAAGCGCCGACTAGCCTCCTAGACCATTTAGTCGGCTGATTAACTATTGTTCTCTTTTTAATTAAATGGGTTATTTCACTTAAATAATCTTAAATTGTTCAAATTCTAGATGTTTTTTTGATTAATATTTAATATTTTAGTATTAACTATTCAAGTATTAAATATTTTATAATTACCAAGTCTTACAAAATCTAAAAATTTTAAACAAATTTTAAAAAAATAAAAAATAGATGGACATCTAGGCAGTGATTAATCGTCGCCTAAACATCCTAGGCGCTAAGTGCCCCCGGACACCCAAGGTGTGCCTAGCAATATTTTCAACCATGCCTGTATAACAACTGAACATACCCTCATATTTTTCACAACATCACACTAGTGATCTTCTACAACGCGAACTTTAAAAAACAAAAAACATTTATTGCCATCATAGTGGATACCACTCAGCAATGGTGAAGGTTTATCACAATTCACAAATGCTGTCTTAACAACTCTTCTCCTTGAATCTGTATTATATGATATGGGGAGCCCTTCCTACTCATCCAACCACTGAACTCCATGCTTTGCCCAGATATCAGCAGCCCCATCTGGACCCTTGCTTCCCAACTTGTACTGCTCTACCACTACGTTGCTATTGCCCATCTCATTCAGCACCGTCGACAATATATTCCAGGCAGCCGCAACCTCGTCACTTCTCATGAACAGGTGGTTGTCCCCGTCTATGACATCGTGCAGAAGTTGCTCGTATGAATCAGGTACCTCGATGTCATACCTGATCGCCCAAAACAATGAAACCACTCGTATACTAAAACGGGAATCAAGGAAACCCACAGCCACTAGGTAAACCCGCTGTCTTGTGACCCTAGCCGACAAAAGACTGGTTAGCTATGGTAAACCCGCTGTCTTGTGACCCTAGCTGGCAAAAGATCACAAGGAAGTAAACCAGTCTAGGTTGCCCATAGCTAACCGGCTCAAACCAAGAAAGTTGGGATTCGAACTCGTGACCTTGTGGTTACAAGTTTATATCCTTAGCCAACTTGACTGAGGTTGTCCCCTATTCTAGTGTTCACTTGTGTGAGAGGGTGTTGGGGCAAAGAAGCAAATGTATGTATCAATTTAAAAGATTACCTGTCCTTGTAAAGCAAATTCAATTCTGATGCATCCAATTGCATGCCTAGTCCTGGAACCTTGTTATTAATACGGACTAAGATCGACTCTTCAGGCACATCGCGTAAAATCAACTCATTGGTAGCAAGCTCAACACTACGCAGATTGTCTTTATGGTAAAGGTTCCCAGCGACATGACGAAATTGTATGCGAATTTCAACTCTGTAGATTTAATAGTTAAATTTGATTCAACAGTGAAAAGAAAATCTTCCCTTCAAGTCTTCATACTTCAACTATAGGATTCAAGAAAATAAAAGATAACCTCTTTTTCTTCCCCAAGAGGAAGGAAATTATTTCATGATAAAAGCAACACCATTAATATTATCACTAAAAGAGCAATTATAATCTCACCTATTTTTGTCGAGTCCTCGGCCAGCTTTGATTAGAAAAGGTACACCATCCCAACGTGCATTGTCAATGTACAAAGCAGCAGAAAAATATGTCGGTGCCAGATTGCTCAAATTACCATCAACCTGACCTTTAGGATTGGCGTCATATCGTCCAAGGATAACATCAGAGGGTTCTATTTTTCGGATTGATCTCAATACCTTGACCTAAGTAAATGCTTCTGATTAAATTCGACAATACAAATTTGAATTTCAGATTCAACGCACATATGTAGGAGATTCACCTTTTCATTACGAACATCTTCGCCATCTAGTGTGACAGGAGGTTCCATAGCAAGCAAAGCAATAGTCTGAAGTATGTGACTGTGTACAACATCACCTATTATACCAGAGGCATCAAGATGGCTGTGAAGATAATGATAACAAGACCAATTTTAGACAAATTCATTCATAGTAGAAAGACATTATACAGATGAGCTAATATCCAATTTAGTCCTCGACTATAGTTATTTTTTCTCGATTTAGTCCTAGACTATAGTGATTTTTTCTCGATTTAGTCCTAAACGACTTTTGGTGCTTAATTAGGTCTTCGACTGTGATGGTTTTACCAATTGAGTCATCTGTTAAGATAGCTTGGTAATTTCACATCTATTAATACTCAATTCAGTCTTCGACTATAGTAGTTTTACCTGAGTTAGTCTTCGACTATAGTGGTTTTGCCCAATTTAGTCCTCGACTATAGTGATTTCATCGATTTAGTCCTTGATTCTAATAGCCGAGGACTCAATTGGGTAAAACCACCGAAGTCTAGGACCTAATTAAGCACAAAAAGTCATTTAGGACTAAATCGAGAAAAACCACTATAGTCCAGGACTAAATTGAGTATTACTCCGTAACTCTTACACAGATTGAGTAACAGAAATTTGTTACCCTGTTGGAGTTTGCATCCCAACCTCTTCAGAAAATATGACCTGACAAACGTATTTAGTAGAATGTCAAGAAAAGAGGTAAGATAGATAAGCAGATTTGGAAAATTTTAATCTATGGTAATATTAGTACCTGTACACTTTGAATGTAATTACGGTTCCATAATGGCATAAAAACAAGATTAGAGAATCTTAGGACAGTGAGGTTTTCGATAGTGTTCCTTCCTAGAAGATGATCTATCCTGAAAATTAAGAGCAGACAAAGGTGAATAATGATAGTTTAGAATTATTAGAGGTAGATATATCCCTATGCACATGCAAGACAAATGCATTCAGACCTATATAACTGCTTCTCCTCAAAGTTCGAAAGAAGAGAACTTGTCAACCGATGAGAAGACAATGAATTACAACCAAACGGTTTTTCAATTATTATACGATTCCATCCCTTCTCAGTCTGGGCATGTTCAGCAATTGACAGCGCAACATCTGACAATGCTTCTTGGGGCACAGAAAGGTAAAATATCCTGTTTGTTTCAAACTTCCCCTGCAGTAATTATGTTGTTACAGAATGGACTATCATCCACATTCTTGAGAGCTAAGTAGACAAAAGGTAGCGGGTAACCCCATCCAAGATGGCTAAAGAAGTAAAGATACAAACTTGTAACCACAAAGTCACGAGTTCGAATCCCAGCCTTTTTGGTTTGAGCCGGTCAGCTATGGACAACTTAGACTGGTTTACCTTCTTGTGGTCCTTTGCCAGCTAGGGTCACAAGGCGGGGTTTACCCAGTGCACACCCTCAGGTAGTAGCTGCGGGTTTCCCTTGTCACCACAAAAAATTAGACAAAACATAATGGTAAACCCTATCACCGGACAATCTTATATTCAGTAAAAACTTACTTCAACATGTTCCATTAGGACATGGAGCTTTAACATTCCTTCTCTGTTGTTGAACCCTCCATTAAGGTAGTGAATTCTTTTGAGAAAAGCTTCCATTTTGTCTTCACAATTCTGTCTGCAAAGTACATTTTGATGGCATTAAACAAAATATTGCATGTCAAACACCCAGAAATACATTCACACAATTTGTATTCCCCTACCCCACTTTCTGGTCTTAATCATTAGAAATCCATGCATTGTCCTATCTGATAAACACAAAAGCTGGAAGATAATCGATTCCAGCTTATAGGAATTTTTTTTATTGAAGAAAAAACAAAAGAAACGAAGAGAATTGTACTGTTCATCAATGCGGCAAGTTAAAGTTGTGGCTATTATTGCTCTCAGGTCTTCATCCGTTAGTTCTTTCCTTGAATATCCAAATATAGCAAAATTCTGTAGCAACAAGCAAGCCAATACGACAACAAATCAAGAAAGAACACACACAAGATTAATTCAATCTAAACAAAAAGAGAATGTTCATTGGAAATTACAACAGGATTCCCAATCTTCAACTAATATAACAGGGTATCTTCAAGTAGTTTTATCCTGGAATCTTGTGGACATTTTATCAAAAAGAAAAAAAAAAATCAAGTAGAGATGAATGGATTACCTCTGGTAGTTGACCACTGTAATACAGAGCAAACAGCGCCGGGAAAATTTTTCTCCGAGCTAGCTCCCCAGTAGCTCCAATAACAGCAATGCTAATAGCAGGTGATCTTCCAATCTGAGTGCCATCAGTGAGGCTTGAGACTGGAACAAGAATGAATGAAATTTCAAGTGAGTTACTGCTTTAAAGAAATCAACTTTTCTTCTTCATCTTGTAAAAAGGCTAAGTAATTTCTTTTCATAGGAAATGTTATAGGAGAACCAATGGAGAAAAGTTCATATTTTGCTTTGTGCTTGTGAGCTAGTTATCCTGGAATTTAAAGAACATGTCAAAATCTGTTTTATGCAGTGTGGTCTCTTTTTCTTTAACTATACAAAAAAAGAAACGAAAAAAAAAAAAAAAAAAAAAAAAAAAAAAAGGAGTTAATACCCAATTTAGTCCTAGATTATAGTGGTTTTTCTCAATTTAGTCCTAAATGACTTTTTGTGCTTAATTAGGTCATCGACTTTGATGGTTTTACCCAATTGAGTCCTCGACTGACGGCTGTTAGAATCAAGGACTAAATCGAGAAAATTCACTATAGTCGTGGACTAAATTGGTTAAAACCACTATAGTCGAAGACTAACTTGGGTAAAACTACTATAGTCGAGGACTAAATTGGGTATTAATAGAGTTAAAATTACCAAGCCATCTCAACAGATGACTCAATTAAGTAAAACAATCAAAATCCAGGACCTAATTAAGCATAAAAAGTCGTTTCGGACTAAAAAAACCACTATAGTCGAGCACCAAATTAGGTTTAAAAAAAAAAACAATTCAGACCAGAAATGATTCTGATGCTAACCATTTGATAGAATGGCTGCTGAAGATACTGCAACATGTTCTCCATCATGCAATGGAGTTGTTCCTGAAAGGCTCATTGCCCAGACCCTGCCTTGATATTGAAAATTCTTGAAGTCGTTTTTCTGCTCACTTATTTTATTATGCCATTGAAAATTCCCATTCCCAAACATCCATACTTTCATGCCATAACAATTGTTCAAGGATATATTACCACTATATGAACATATACTTGCATACTTTGCTGTTACCTGCATATATATAGCAATAAATTCTTTAAATTACCATAAAACTGAAAACTAGTGACCATTCCTTAGAGTTCAACTAGGTAACTGATCTATGAAATTTAACGTATGCATAAACATAGTATCATCAAGGGAAATCGAATTTATACTCATTTTAGTACAGGAAATTGAAGTAGTATAGTTGGTTTACCAATATATATATATATATTAGTTTGAACTCAAGGTGTGCTGAAAAGGGGAAAAAAAATTGATTGGAAAAGTACAGGAAAAATACGGATGGGTGCAGCGTAGGCGGCGATGTTCCGAAAAAGGAACGACGGTGACGCGTTAATTGAACGCTCCGGCGATACAGTGAACGACGAGAGGGACAGAGCTGCCGCCATTGAGCTCGATTCCAGAATCCAGAGCCTTGGATTCTCCGAACCGGTTCGCGGCACTTCACATGTCGACGATTTAACTAGAGTGTTAGATTCGTTGGCACAATTTTGAGGATTTCTTACAAGTTTAAACAAAGGGGCAAATTATATATTATGGAATAGACCAAGACTATGTAGTCTAATGGTACTCGGATTGGATTTCCATTTGGATGGAAGGCTGTGACTCTACAATGTAATAGAGCCAGTAATATTTAAAATATATATATATATATATATATATATATATATATATATATATATATTATGGAATAGGGTATAACTTATATCGTGGACTCTTGATAAAAAATAACATTCTGTTAATATATTTTATAATGCAATTAACTGTTTATATATCTATAAATAAATTGAAAGCACATAACATGTTAACACAAACACATATAATGGTTTAACTACAATAAAAATGCGCATAGACAACACTAGATAACAGTTTTGTCCAAAATCATTGTATTTGATTCAACACTTTTGTCAAAGACAACGATTTTTACCTAACCGTTGGTATAAGTGTGTTGTCTATGTGCAATTTTTTCTTTTTTGAAAAGACAACGGTTTTATTTAACCGTTGGTGTGTTTTCTTTAAGCACACTTGAATACACAGCACTACAAAGACAACAATTTTTAAAATTGTTGTCTATGTGCATTTTGTTAATTTAAACGACAGTACACTTTGATAATTATAATTTTACTATATACTTAAATCATTATAAATCATTATATTCTAGATAATTACTCCATCTGTCCCATTTTATGTGTCCTACTTACTATTGATTGGTCAAACCAACTATTTCTTCTTTGTTTATTTTCTTTATTATTTTTTACTTTTTTTAAATTTGATTTTTTGTCCTTTCAAAAAAAAATTAATTTTTTTTGTGTTTAATAGTACTTCTAGTGTAGTTTCTAAATACGGAGTATATAAATTTTGTATATTAATATTAAACTTAATATTATAAAAAATTAAATTAAAAATAACTTTAGTCAATCCTTGTTAATTTAACCAGACACATAAAATGAGACGAAGGTAGTACTTAATATGGAAAAAATGATGACTTACCTAGAAAAAAAATCTTTAAAAAAATAAAAGATAACATAATTGAGTATTTATTTCCTCTCTTACACAGTTAAAAAAAAAAAAAAAAAAAAAAAAAAAAAAAAAAAAAAAAAAAAAACTATACACCCACAAGCTGAATATATACCAAAAAGGTGAAAATATAATCTTAAATCACTAAATACTTAAGCAGCAGCAGCCAACACAACAAATTTGGACGCCCTCCCCAGCGACGACGACACCGCCTCCCCCCGATCCCCTGCTCTCCCCAACACCGACGCAACAGACACGGACACCTTGCCCTATGACGACGACGCCACCGTCTCCCTTTGGCTAGCCCCCCGGCTTCCCCTGCGAACACTACAAGAATGAAGACATTTAGTGACCAATCTTTTGTGACACTTCATAATTTAGTCACAAATAATACGCTTTTTGTGACCAAAAAATAAGTCGACACTATTCTGTGGGATAATTGTGATAACTTTTTTTTGGTCACGGATAGTATGGTAATTGTGACAAGAAAGTATTTGTTACGAATAAGTTGTCACTATTACTAGAATAATAGTGTCGTAACATACGTTGTCACTATTACTAGAATAATAGTGTCGTAACATACGTTGTCACTATTTGTTGTCACTAAATGTATGTGCATTTTGGCGGCATTATAATTATGGCGGGAACGAATGTAATTGCGACAAAATATTATGTGGACACAAATGTTTGTATTTTTTGTGAAAAATAGTTGTTGGTCACTCTTGTTTATAATATTTGTGACAACTTTTTTTTTGTCAATAAAAATACAATATGTTAGTACAATTAGAAATGAGAAACAATTGTGAGAAAAAATATTATTGTCACTAATATTATCACTTTTTGTGACGAAATTGTTAAAAATATTTGTGACGCTCTATAATTCCGTAACAAAAATTGCTAAATTGTGATGATATTTATGTTGATTTCAAGATTTGTCACTAATTTATGATAATTGTGATGAGTAATTAGTTGTTACAATGACAGTGTCCCTATAATTAAATAGCTAATATTATCTGAAATTATGTTGTAATTAATGTTTGCCACTAAAATTGCATTCAAGTAGGTGTCAAGTAATTTGGTGTGAACTATGTATTAAATATTGTGGTCACTTCAAATGCAACTATTTAGTGCCTCTTAAAATAAATGTAATTGTGAAAATACATTTTATAATCACAAATTTTTAAACTTTTTTTGTGACAAATAAGTTCAGTATCATTTATTTTACTAATTTGTCACATCAATTCCTATGAATTGCTTGTTCTACTATCAATATGGCGTCTTCATCCCAAAGTTTGATTCAAAATTAATCAAATTAATCGAATGACTATCCTAACGACATTAGTCTACTATTTGTACATTAAGAGATATCCAATGTAACGTAGTACAATTTTTACAATATGATTGTATCAAATATATAATATAAAATAAATTATATATAATAAAAAATTAGTTATTTGGACAAATTAATCAAATTAGTTAAAGTATAATTTAGTTTGGTTGATTATATAACAATTTCTCAAAATGAAAATTCAATTAGTTTGAATAAAATTAATCAAATTAACTGAATTATTACTCCTAAATCATTTGAATCATTGAGGAATTTTGTATCGCTTTTTGTGGTTCATTTTGCTGTGATGGGATCCTAGGCATTCTGCCATCATGGAAAACAACAATGAAATATTACTATGAAAAAGTGTGATACCCGGTTTTTCTAGCCTTTCTAAATTCTTCTTTTTTTCTGATTGATCACCCATTTCCTTTCTGATCAATCCTTTTAAAAATAAAATCACATCATTTTTATCCTATTATTATTGTTGTTATAAATAAATATATAATAAAGTATGTATAATTATAATTTTGATTAATTATAAGTATATGTGTATTATTTTGAAATACAAAATAATTATTTTAATATAAAATGTGTATATATTATTTTGGGTCATATAATTGTATATGTATATTTTTTATACTTACGTATTATATGTGTGACGTATGTACATATATTATTTGTAAAATATATATAGTATAATTAAGTATATATGTGTGTGTGGGTTGGCCCGCGGCATTTCCGTTTTGAGATGGCCTGGTTGCTAGATGAAGATTGTAGGGAGGTGGTGGAGGAGGCGTGGGGATATGGGGTGGAGGATTTGCAGGCCCGTTTGGAGAGATGTGATATGAAGCTCCAGAGGTGGGGTGGTGATCGTTTCTACAAGTTTGGGGAGCGGATCGCTAGCCTCAAGAAACAACAGATGAAATGTCGGGGTTGTATGAGCCCCCAGGCGTTAGCCGAGTTTCGCCGACTGGAAACTGAACTAGTAAGGCTTGAGAAGCAGGAGGATGTATTCTGGAGGCAGAGAGAGCTAAGCAGCATTGGCTTCGTGGGGCGGATGCATATACACGCTTCTATCACAGGTATGCTTCTGCCCGTAAACGTAAGAATACTATTTTACGCCTTAAGGATGAGTTGGGTGGTTGGGTAGATGGGGATGCTGTGAAACCAGTCATAATGAATTATTTTAATGACATTTTTACTGCTAATCCGAATGTGAATGATGGGACGGATTTTTTTGCCAATATCCCCACTCGTGTAACTCAGTCCCATAATGATTGGTTGAATCGGCCTTATGATCCGGGAGAAGTTAGGGATGCTTTATTTTCTATGTTCCCAGATAAGGCTCCGGGTCCGGATGGAATGAATCCGGGCTTTTATCAGAAGTTTTGGGACATTGTTGGGACAGATGTAACTGATTGTGTGCTGGAATGCTTAAATATTGGGTCTTTGCCAGTTGGTCTTAATGAGTCGAATATTGTGCTTATTCCAAAAATGCAGTCCCCTGAGGTGGTGACTGATCTCCGCCCGATTGCCCTGAGTAATGTTGTTTATAAGATAATTGCAAAAGTTATTGCTAATCGTATGAAGCCTCTGTTGGGTGAGGTTATTTCTGTTTCGCAGAGTGCGTTTATCCCTGGCAGGTTCATAACGGATAATATATTGGTTGCTACTGAGGTAGGCCATTTCCTGAACAGAAAGCAGTTGGGTAAGGTGGGATGGGGAGCCCTGAAGTTGGATATGGCGAAGGCCTACGATAAGATGGAGTGGTCGTTTTTTAGAAAGATGATGTTGGCTTTAGGCTTCCAGGTGGGGTGGGTAAATCTAATTATGGAATGTGTTACTACAGTATCGTATAATGTTATGATTAATGGTGTGTCTGGAGGTCAGATAACCCCGTCCCGTGGGCTCCGTTAGGGGGATCCTTTATCCTCATATTTGTTTATTATCTGTGCAGAGGGGTTATCTTTGTTATTACAGCAGGCTCAGGATAGGGGTGTCGTGCATGGATTGAGAGTGGCGAGAGGGGCTCCTGCTCTGTCACATCTCTTTTTTACGGATGACAGTCTCTTGTTTTTTAAGGCGAATGTTGGGGAGGCACAGGCAGTTAAGTGGTGTCTTTCTTTTTATGAGGAGCTATCTGGTCAGACCATTAACTATCATAAATCAAATATTTGTTTTAGTAGGAACACTCAACAAGCAGAAAGGGACATGGTGTCTGCGGTTTTTGGGGTTCATCAAGCGGTAAACTTTGAAAAATATTTAGGGTTACCGGCTTTTGTGGGGAGGAATAAGCGTGCGGTGTTTGCATATGTGGAGGATAAGGTGAGGCAGAGGATTGGGTCCTGGAATAAGAAGCTTTTGTCTCAGGCAGGGAAGGAAATATTGTTGAAATCTGTTGCGCAAGCAATGCCAACGTTTACTATGAGTGTGTTCCTATTGCTTGACTCGTTGTGCACGAACCTGGAGCGTGTAATGAATAGATTCTGGTGGCGCAATGGAAGGGATGAGGGAGGGATTCATTGGCTTGCCTGGGATAAAATGAGTATACCAAAGAAATACGGGGGGTTGGGTTTCAAAGATTTGAGAGCTTTCAATGTAGCTATGTTGGGCAAGTAGGGCTGGAGGTTTCTGACTAACCCCCAATCTTTGGTGGCAAAGGTATATAAAGCCAGGTACTACCCAAATACAAATTTTTTGAATGCCTCAGTTGGAAATAATCCTAGCTATTGTTGGAGGAGTATAATGGCTGCCCAGGGACTTATTACTCGTAATATCAAGCGGAGGATTGGAAATGGATACTCCACTTTGGTTTGGGGTGATCCGTGGTTATTATGTGATTCGGAGCCAAGGGTTGTGTCGGAGAAACCTCCTCATTTAGGGGAAGTTAAAGTCTCTGGATTAATAGATTCAGCATCCTCTACCTGGGACATTCCGTTGCTAAATGAGCTGTTTTCGGCTGGGGAGGTTGAGCGAATTGCTGCGATACCAATTAGCCCTGCCTATGATGATATGTGGTATTGGCATGGGGACCCAAAAGGAGTTTATACAGTAAAAGCCGCTTACCGTGATTTAATGGGAACCGTTATTGTACCCCTCGGTGTTTTTACATCTTGGAATAAAATTTGGAACCCGAAGGCACCCCCTAAGTGGAAGGTTTTCTTGTGGAGAGCGGTGATGGGAGTGCTTCCCACCACTATTAATTTATATAGTAGAAGGGTAGAAGTCCCATTAGCATGCCCTTTGTGTGCTCTGTGCTGAAAATATTTTACACTCTTTGGTACAATGTGATTATTCTAAATGTGTGTGGAATATTTCGGGCTTTATTGTGCAGAGTACGGTGGGAGACGATTTTGGTGTATGGCTCGAATTGGTATTGCAAAATGTTGATGAGGATCAATTTACTGCTATGGTGGTTATTTTGTACCACATATGGTTGCAACGAAACTCGGCGGTTTGGGAGCATAAGGTGGGTAGGCCACGGCATGTGTACGAGAGAGCGATGGCGTCTCTTCATGCGTGGCGCGCGGCTACGGCTCGTACGGGAAGGCAGCAGCAGACAGCTGCACGGGCTACCGCTGCTGGGCAATCTGCCGCACTGTGGTGTTCTTTTGATGCGGCCTTCTCGGCCGAAACAAGAAGGGGGGCGTATGGCATTGTATTGCAAAACGCGGATGTGAGTTTTATTGCAGCCAAAAACGGCCCTTTGCCGTTATGTCAAGGACCCTTTATGGCGGAGGCCTACGCATGTAAGGAGACCCTTTCCTGGCTTAGAGATCGTGGGGTCATGGATGTGGTGCTTCGGTCAGATTGTTCAAACTTGTGCCACGCTCTCAGTAATTCAGCGATGGAGATTCGCACTTATGATGGTTTAGCTGTTTCAGCATGTCGGGACTTGATGAATCTATTAGTTTCTTGTTCTGTTATTTATATTCCTCGTACTTTAAATGTTTTAGCTCATTCGTTAGCTCAGTCAGCCTCATTACAGGCGTACTCTTCGGTGTGGGAGGATGATCCTCCTACTTTTGTTTCAGCTTTGATTGATTAATATATGCAGCAGTTTACTTTCAAAAAAGTATATATATGTGTGTCGTGTAGTATATATTTATAATAGGTAGTATAATTAAGTATATATGTGTGTGTCATGTAGGATATATTTATAATAGGTAGGATAATATTAGATATAAATATATATATATGGAAAACGTGTGAACTATTATGTAATATATATATATATATATATATATATATATATATATATATATATATATATATATATTTATTTATTTATTTATTTATTTATTGTATACTGATATATATGATAAGAATCTTTATAATTAATATGATTGGGAGTATAACTTAAAATATTCTCCCATTAAGTTGACTAAGGAAGGATGATGACCAATACAATTATTTTCGTTCTTCTTTTATCCTATCTTGGCCGATCTTTCTAGCAAAAGAAAAAAAAAAAAAAATCCTCTCTTCTTCCTATCTCTCCCTTTCAGCATTTTTAAAGAAAACAAAAATTCTCTTATACTTTTCAAGAGTTGAAGCAATCCACTCATCCAAGCCCAAAGGTGATTTGGGTAGTATTATTTGAAAAAAAAAATGTGACCAAATAATGGTCACCAATAAAAACATCAAGATTGACAATAGTGACACTATTTCAACTTATTTTAGTGACACATGTTTTGCCACTAATTTTTAGTATTGTTGTTACGACTTTAATTAGCACCAATGATTGTTTCAGAGTTAACTTCTTTTTGTCACAAATAAATACAATATTTGTTACCATGATTGTTGTCACAACAAAATAATTATTTGTTACAACTTTTTAGGTCACTGATTATCATTTTTGAGTCAATAACAATTCACACAAATAAGTATAAGTATTGTGACTAAAGTGTTGTCACAATAAAATAATTAATTGCAATGATTTTAGTTATCACTAGATCAATTTTTTGTAATAACATATTTCGTCACCAAATGTACATTTATTGTGACGACTATTGACATCACTCAAAGACTACTTTTAGTGTACGTAAACATTGTCACAAAAGTCTTAGTAATTGTGACAACTTTTCAAAAGTCGTCACTATTACAATAGTGACGGGGGATATAGTGACGACAGGTGACGACTTCAAAAATTGGTCACTAATTTCAATAGTGACCAAAATCGATAGTTTTGGTGACAACTTCTATTATCACCAAATGTGAAATTTCTTGTAGTGGAGGTTGCGCTACTAGATTGTGTTTGACAAGGGAACCAACGCCACAGGGTTAAGATAAAATATAATATTTTAAAAAAAAAAATTATATACATGTGCTTTTTAAAAATTTATTATAAGGTATACATATAATTGAAAAAAGTGTCAAATTGACCCCCTAAGTCAAGTGGATAATGCAATTGGATCACCTAAGTGAACAAAGTTTCATTCAAGTTCCTTAAACCGGTAAAATTGTTCAATTAAATTCAATTTGACTTGTTTATCAGGTTAACTCGATACAGTGTTGACACGTGTCCTTTTTATTTTATTTTCTAAAACAAAATGTTTTTTATTAAAAATTAAAAATATTATTTATTACAAATAAACTATACCATTAAAAAAAAAAAAGAACATCCATCGGCTGTCCGCGCCGGACAGAAGGTGGCTGTCTTCTTCACAAACAGCAGTGACTGTCCGGCAGGACGGCCACGGCCGTTTAAGGAAGACGGCCATGGCCGCCGCCCTCGTTCCAGATCTAGAAGATGGCCGTGGCCGTCCGGCTGTCCGTGAAGAAGACAGCCACCGACGTGCGGATAGCCGGTGGCTATTTAAAAAAAATTGTTTAGTTTATTTATTTATTTATAATAAATAATTATTTCTAATTTTTAATAAATAAAAAATATTTTGTTTTAAAAAATAAAATAAAAAAGGACACGTGTCAACACTACATCAATTTAACCTGATAAACAAGTCAAATTGGACTTAATTGAACAATTTTATCGATTTAGGGGACTTGAATGAGCCCTTTTTCACTTAGGGGGTCCAATTGCACTATCCACTCGACTTAGGGGGTCAATTTGACTTTTTTTCTATATAATTTGGTAAAATAGTTAGCCTTTCAGTCAATACCAATATGAGTGTTTGATTAATTAGCTTTTTGTACAACTTATTGCTCTAGAACATTAAAGTTCAAAAAGTTGCTCAAAGCAGTTTTTTCGATCAGTTTTTTTTTTTTTTTTTAAAAAGTCATGTTATATGTAATCAACTCACAGCTAACAACTAATTTATTAAACATCTTTCTATAAGTAGTTAATGTTATCAACTAGTCAGAGCCACTAACCCAATCAGCTAACAGTTATTTACCAAATACTCCATATAATAATAATTATAATTATTGTTATTATTATTATTATTATTATTATTATTATTATTATTATTATTATTATTATTATTATTATATTGTATAAACCGCTTTCAAAATATATTGTATAAATCAAATATGATGTAGATGTGCCAGGTGGATGGTAACAAGTAAACAAAAATGATAAAACGGATTTGGATAAACGATTTTAATGAATTCAAGTGTGAAATTGAAACTTTTAAAGTTTGAGGACCTATTTGACAATTTTTCTTAAATTTAATAATATAATTTTATTTAAATATAATAAATAATTATTATTAATAAAATAATTAATATTTTATAAGAAAAAATTTTATAATATATTTATATTCATGTTTTTAAAAAATGAACCAAAATAAATAATTTTGTTGTGTTTAATTTTCAACTAAATAGAGAAAGATTGTTTTATGATTTTCAGTCAAACACAAAAAAATGAAAATATTTGTTGATAGTAGAATTAATTTAAAGTATTATTTAAATTTAAATAAAACTATACTGTATTAATAGATGGGTATAAAATAAAAGATGATTAAAATGATAGTTATAACTATTGTATGTAGATGTTCTTAATAATCACTTTAAAGAATATGATCAATTCATGATTTGATGGCCATGACTAATTGACAAGAAGCAAGTTCATTCTTTGCAGGGAAGAAAAATTAAAGGTCTAATTTTAATTTTTTAAAATAAAGCAAGAAATTAAAATTTTATTTATTCTCGATCTTCATATATATTCAAATAAGAAATTCCCTAAACTTAGGATTTGCATAACACTTTGACAGAACTTATTTGACATAACAGCTATATAACGTGTAATCTAATCTGTCTCCTCTCTTCAGAAATCTTAAACCTCAATCAAGTTTGAGATTCAACTATTCAAATTAAATAACACTCAACACAAATAATAATAATAATAATAATAATAATAATAATAATAATAATAATAATAATAATAATAATAATAATAATAATAAAACAAGAATAATATAAGTTTTTTTTTTTGTATGCACTAACTAGTCCCGGCTTGAACCTACAAGGTAGGTAGGTAGTTAGGGATATCGGAATAATGCATCCACTGGTCCTGATCGTACGAAATCACGGCCGCCGGGAGGTCCTGATCGTACGGCCTCATCACGGTGACAGGTTGGGGGCAAGATAGCAAACTGCTAGGCATAGGCGGCTCATCTTTCGTCATCATTAACGGATCCTTCATCACCCCGACCTCAGCTGCCGCCGCCACCAGATGACGTCCATCATGATAAGGTAGCAGATTTATCATAGCAGGATTTCTGTTGTACGAGGTTTGTTGAATGCTTTCCATCTGCGGCAGTGTAGCAGGTATATAATCTTATTTGCTACCTATAACACCCCGCGTTACAACCTTCAAACCCGAATTAATTATTAAATTAATTCCATTAATTAAAGTAATTAAGAGGGACTTAATCCAATTATAATTATCCTAATTAACCCGGACGGTCCACAATGGATCGTGGACCTTTACCTGAACCAGGAACCTTAAGCCCATAGGGAATAAGGAAACGGGCCATTACTATTTAGACTCTGAATAGGTTTTCCTTAAAAGTATAAATAGGGGATTAGAAAGCAAATATAACCTTCTTTCTCCTCTCCCTCACTCGAAATACTCTCAGGTAATCCAGCCAGGGAAATCCCACACCATCAAGCCTAGGAAGATCTATTGGTAGTAGAATCTTAGAGAAGAACCTTAGTAGCCAAGGATATTGATTAGGGCTAAGACGTAACCCATGTCTCAACAAAACCTAATTTCCTTACTATATCTTATTTATTGGCTCATTTGATAATCGTATGTGTAATTCTATGATTGAGTCTTGATAGAGCCCTTGCATAGGATTTATATTGTGCTTGTTTA